AAAGTTGTACCAAATCAGTTTATTGATCATCTCCACTTCTTTAATATCATGAAGTGATCACATAACACCCTGAGCTGAGACCAGTGCTCAGTTTTATTAGCACACCTATATTCAAGCTATTAACCATCATGCAGAGTATAAGAAAAGATCCAGAACATGTCCTTCAACTTGCTTGAGTGCCTATGCTGACTATTATTATTGGCATAAGTATGAAAGGTCCTGAGGCACTGGAACTGTTAAGTGATTGTAAAACAGTAGGTGTTTGAAAAGAATATCAGTTGAGTTTAGCAAAATGGCCAAGTGGTTGACAATAATCTGGAGTGTAATGACCATCGACTATGAAAGGCTGTTTTACTTTTTGTAGAATATTCTGTCAGTGTTGTCTCAGCTTGCTCTGGAGATCAGCCATTTTATTGTCATGGGATGGAAGAAAAACCAATTCTGTGACAAACCATCAGCTGTGCCTTAGAGTGAGTATATGAACTTGCCCTCACTGTTACACAGATGGAGTAATACTGCAGCTGTGTGTTAAAAGTAATGATGCTTTGCTGATGAGCGTGAGAGGGAAATAAAGAGAAAGAAGAATCTGAGGTGAAGAAAATGATGAGGTGGTCTTTACACAGCGCAAAGTGACAAACTTGGTGTGTTGAGCTCGTACAGGTTGGAAAGCAAACTCTTTAATCTTCATACATAAGAGGACATACTGCAGATGATGCTGCCTTACATGCACGTACATTACATGTTGTAAGGGGGTTTGTTAAGGCTCCTCAATAAACAACTGTAAATAAATTTCAATTGTTGTGCAGCAAAGTCAAGTTTTAAATGAGTAATATTTTTAAATACTACTGTTTTTCCACTCACATTGATTCCAACCAGATCAGTAGGAGAAAGTCCATTTATTCATTCTGTGGATTTGCTGTTGAAACTCTCAGTACAATCTCACTTTAATGCATAAAGCCTAATTACCTTAATTAACTGAATTACTGGTTTCGGATCATGTTTCTCAGTCACTCAAGCAATATGAACCAGTATTTGGTCACTTTAATGTGATCTGGCTTGAATGAAGATTTCACATCATCCTGTTTTTTGTGATGACTTATGCTACCTGCCCGATGTCTAGTGAGGCGGGTCTTGTTGCAAGCTCCTGCTTGATATGAGGATTATGTGGGAACCAAGTCCTCCTACATTATTGCACTTAATTAGCCTGTGTCAAGCCCCTTTCAGATATGCACTCCTTTCCATTAATCTGCCGGCATCTGAACGTGTCGGCTTCATGTCTGGACGAGCACCCTGGTCATTTTTCCATAAAAGTCACAATGGAAATCTTATGAGGTCAAGCCTTGTACATTTATGTATCAATTTCAACACAGCATAAGTCTGAACATTATGCAGTCATGTTAATGGACAGGCAAGAAACATGGGAATAAACAAATCTCCTGGAACATACTAATATTTGGCTGCCATGTTGTAGTAAAGAAACTCTGGTCTATGACATGATGTCAGCTACTGTCCAATCTTGCGCATATTGCAAACATTTTATTGGTACACTGGCTAATATCTGTATTATTCAATTAAATTAAAATTAAGGCAACAGAATTTTTATGGCCCAAAGTCACAAATTTGCCTCTAAGGGATTTACAATTCTCCTGGATTCTTCCAATAAAAAAAGCTTGTTTGGATAGAATTCTTTTGTGATGACAATAAAATGGATTCTTCAAACACAACACTGGAGTAGCAACTGTATACTTTTCTCATGAGGAGAGTGGCAGTCCCAGGAGAGTTTTCATACAATCTCCTCTTATTACACCTCTTTTTCACCAACTTCTCATTTCCCCCGTAAATCCACACGGCACAATTCAGCCTCACAATTCCCCATTCACCTGCAAAATACTGTAAACAGCTCAGCCATGATCCGTGTCTTCGTCGGTCAGAAGACTGAGGAATCTTATAAGCACACTTCAGAATGTAATACAGAGCATGTAAAAGCCTTACTATGTAATCTTATTGATTCGTAGCAAAGGTGTTAATGATCTACATCACAAGCAGCACCGTGAAGTCACACAAAACACTTCACTTTAATCATCTTCAACTGTCACATAAAGAAGACACAAATTAATTGTGCACAAAGCCAAAAATAAAAAGAAAACAGGCAGGCGAAGTGAGGCAGAAAACAGAGGGGGACAGGTGGAAGAGGAAGAGGAAAAATAAACAGAGAGAGCACACAGAGGACTATCTTTGCACAGTTGAGCCTCAGTGACTGCTGTGGCCTCACAACTACACTTCCTGTCTTCTTCACTGGTTAAATGCACGTTAGGTGTGCGTCTCTGTCCGCGGTGCTGAAACGAGCATCACCACTGCTTTGCCATGTGTTTAACACGCTCAGTTACCCTATGAATACAAAAAGTCAAGATGAGACAGAAAATTAAAGACAATATAGGGGGATCTGCAAAGTGCAAACAAAAGGAGGCGATGAAAGAGATATACAGTAGTTAAAGATAAAGGCTTGTATTGGAAATCAGAGGGATGACCAGTAAGACTTAAACCTCTAGGCATGTTAAACTACTTTTCAAATGTATCCTGTCATGACATGACAGCTCTAAGAAAGTCGTTTTAGTGAGCCTACTAAAAGAAAAAACAACAGAGAAGAGTGAAAACATAAGTTCCTTGGCAGGGCCAAAAGCATACATGACAATGCCAGAAGGCTACCAGTGGTGCTATAAGTCAGGGATTTCAGGAGGCACACTGTCCAACATGTTTTCCTCCCTTCCCTGCTACACCTGATAATGACCTTCAGGTTTACTAAATCAGGTACAAGAGCTGCACTAATCTGAATCAAGTGTGCTGGAGCAGGGAGACCTGAAAAGCATGTTGTACAGCGTGTGTCCAGGACCAGGCTTGAAAAACGCTGCTGTATATGACCTCCTTCCCAGTGTAGCTTTTAAAATTCGTATTTGCTCCATCATAGCCTTAGCTTTCACTATATATACTGTCAAACTTTAAGGATAAGGCCAAGTATTTTCCATATTAATATTTTCAGCACTCCCCACACACAGACTAAATCGGACAATGATTTACCTCTACTCACTGTTAATGTCTGTCAGTCCTGGATTAGCTTATTTGTCTGTGCCGTAGACCTGCACTGTGGTTCAAAACCAATTAAAAACACATCAGGGAAGCACACCACAGCACTTAGTGACGTATCTCTTCATTACAAAACACAAGACCCTGATAGCTGGTAAGAATATCCAGTGATCTGGTGCATAACATCAGGGTCTGTTGTTTTGCAGTGAGGAAACATGGCACCCAGTGCAGCAGTGCACTTCCCTGATGTGTTCTTTATTAATTGTGTGAGGAGTGTTCAAAATACTGCAACTAGAGAAAATGACCAGCCTTATCCTTTAAATTAAGGACAGGGCCAATTTTAGGCATCGTCTCCTGAGTCGCCGGCTGGACGGGTGCCAACAGAGGAGGAAGAAATATTTTGTAATTCATTTCCAGTGCTCAGTGAACTTAAAGGTCTGTGACTGATGCTCACATTGCACTGGACACTTTATAACGAAGACTGCAGACAGACTGAAGGAGGACACTCTGCTCACTGTCACATATCCTGCTGGCTACCACGTTTGAGCCCCTGCAGTTTCTAATACCTGTATTCTATTGAAACATTAAAATCCGATCCACACTGGGGGGGAAAAAAAAAAAATCAAGTAGTGGCTAACATAGGTATGTGTGACTGAAATGAACAGAAGAAGCCTAAAATCTTCATCTACACCCTCAAATCTATGTAATTCAACTGATATCCCGAAGCAGGCAAATGAAGAAATTTTGATTAGGCTATTAGCAGGTATAGCCCCTCAGCTGACTGCTCCTGCAATGACAGCTGTCAAATTCACCCCGCTGTGCTCCTTTAAAACATTGAAGGTACAGCTTTGTGAGCGAATGACTTGCTGAGCCATAAAATATATAAAAATAGTGTCTAGTTTCAGTTTTACTGATAACGGCAGTATTTTGATGCTGATCATAATTCTGAAATTAATGAGTGTCCAGACCTCGCTGCCACAACACACCGACACTGATATCCTCTCTCTGTGGATATTATAGAAAACACTACACTGTAGGAAACAAACATTATGTTCTCTTCATGCCAAGCCTTTCAGCAGTATGACATATCTGAAATGATTTCCTTATTTTGATGTTGGATGAAAGATGAGCTTGAGACAATACATTTGCAGTTGTTGTTCTTGTTAATCTATGAATGACAGATTGACAAACGGCTGCATCTCAGACAAACATCACTCGGATGTTTCGTCTTTTGTCTTTCTATCTGATTATGCTTCACACCTGTGTAGTCCTGCTGTCAGAAATACATCTGACAACAAACAATGGATGAAGTCGTGCTGTCCCCTGGGTTGTTAGATGTCACACAGAGAAAACCAGGGGATCAACACAGATCTCTTGACTTGACCAACAGACAGCGAGACAGATAGTTAGGATGTTGCAGAAGACACAGTAAAGTCAACCCCGCTGGTTGCCTGAGTGGCCCCAACTTCAACTAACAGCATAGTCAGGCAGTGACACCATCACCTTTTGAGAAGCAAATCACTTATGGAAAGGATAAGCATAGAAATGTGAATGGCAAACACAGCAATCAATATCCATTTATGTCTCTGTATTACAGTATCTGATTTTAAACTGAGCTCAGTTGGATGTTTCAGGAAGGTATCTTAGGATAATGAGACACCAAAGTGCTTAATATTATTCTGAAATGTATCCGCCCATCTCATTTAAATTAGCTACACGTGTATGAGGTGTAGGGAGAAATAGCCAGTTCAATATGTTCCCAGTTACTCCAGTGAGACTCACACTGCAGATGTGTACTCATCATTTACAGTAGCACAAACTATACATGTAAGCGCATTAATGCAGTCCAGAGCAAAGCAATGGTCCTTTAAATTGGCAGTCAAAAACTTAACAATTCTTAGTTGCATTTGTGCACTCACCTCAAACAAAGGTCCGATTTTATTCTTTTCCAGATATGACTGAATTCTTGACTGTTGTGGAGACGCCATGAAAAAACTGTTGTGCCTCGCAAGAGCTTTTAACGGGATGAAATCATAAGGTGAGCCGGTGTCAGTCGTCCTTCAAGAGGCGTCTCGGCGACTAAAACGTACAAAATGTTACCAAGTAGACTGCAGGGGAGACGCGTTAACTTTCGACGGGTTGCATCAAGCTCTGAAACCGGCTCATTGTGGAGACTCAACCCGGGACCAACCCAAGCTTGTCGCCTCACTGATTGTGGCGGTAGCTCCCTGTGAAAGCCAATGGCACAGCAGCCCTGTGACAGAGATTACAAATCTTCCGCTCACTGGCTGCCAGCGTTCACTGTGCCACGGCCACTCCCAATTATCCAGCGGTCTCAACCAAGCTCGGTCTGATTCAATGTGGCCAGGACGCGCAGCGAAACCTTTACGCTAATTGCGCAGCAACGCAGAAAAAGTTCAACGAGGCTTTTTCATCAAATGCATAATTTTTCTTGAAGTTAAACTTAAAAAGTCAGCAAAGAACAGTTAGGTTACACAAAAATAAACGGGTTGTTTTAGGGGTGTTTTGTATAAAGCAACTATCTACCATTGTAAGTGAACTATAGGATAAACAAACCCAGAACTACAGATGTAGTTCCTATACTTGTGTATAAACGACAGCTTTTTTCAGCAAAAATCGACTTTTGTTTTTATATTGATGAAACAGACAAACAGTACATGTCAGTGCAGTTTGTCCATATGTATAGCAGTAAACTAATCATCCACCCATTACTGTAGCCTAGAGACTGTTTAATCTCTCTCTCTCTCCCTCTCTCTGTCTCTGTCTCCCCTCGTCTCCACACACGTAAAAAAAAATACCCAGATTCATGTGTAACCAGTCGCCTTTGAGTCTCTATGCTGTCTTACATTCTGTGTAATTATTATATCCCGGTTACACATGCAAGTCAGAGAAATTCAAAATCTGAGTACGACTCTCAGCATATTTTTGCTAAATATATTTACAAGCAAATAAACATAGTGCCAAGGAATATTACAAAACATGCACTTGTATATGGTTTTCAAATACTGACAGAAATGATAAAGCACAGATGTCAGAAATTACTCACTTATATGAACAAATATAATTCCAAAATACATCCAATATGCTTTTATTTGATATTATCTTGCTTCTTTCATATGCAGATTAAACTAATAACAAGAAATGCAAATGAATCTTATGAATACAAAGATATTTCAGGCAATAATATGGGGACAGTGACCTGATGGGATTCATTCCACTTCATTAAGCTAATCTGGCTCCATTCTCTGGGTGTAAATCTTTTGTTTTCTCATTATGAAACTTCTTCTCAGACACACAATGTGATAAAAAAAATCAAAATGCATAAAGTACAACAGTGAAAAATATAAAATATCAAAAATACTATTTACTGTTTTCTTATTCTATTTACACTTAAGGCAGCTGTAATGAACAGTAACTGGATTTAAGTACTGTAGGTTGACATTTAGTGGATAGAGAAAAGCCTTCAAAAACAGAAAGTTTGGGACTCTTCAGAATTTTCCTGGATGCAATGCCTTATGGGTCACCATCTGGGGGTGGAGGCTGGCACAATTTGTACAACCTGATCAGAGAAACACATATGCAAAATAGCATTTAATTACATTCCGATACATGGTACCGTAAACATTAAACATGCCAAAAGACAAAACAATGTTCTGTTCTGCTTCCAAAAAAAAAAAAAAAACATATTACTTTAGTGACAAATTGTATTCATATTGTTTTGTAATCCATAACTGATGTTTGCCTAATCTCAGTACAGTTTTTCTCTGCTGTATCTCTTGCATCTTGATAAAGCACTGCAGTCTGCTGTTGTTTAAATGACTGATTGCATCACCAATATCTTCTTGTTCTCAGAGTTCTCATCGCATTGCTGCAGGGTGAACTCACACTAAACTGTATCTGTTACTTGGATGTACAGATCAGTAAAAGTGAGACTGACTATCTTGTGAACAACCAACATTTCTCTTGAGTCACAAAGCATCTATATTCTACAGCAGTCACTCACACTGCTACAATTATGGCCTAAACCAACTGAGTACAGCAATTTTGCTCTCCCACCAGAATCTCTCAACACTAATCATCTTGCTACTTAACTCTATTTGTTAATTTCACTAAAAGGTTCATAAGGCCCGTCTGTCATGCCTATATGTCACAGCCAAGTGGCTGATGCAGCCCTAGTCCTCGCCTTGGAGCTACAGAGTACAAGGGGCTCCCCCGTAATGGAACTATTTGGTCCCAGTCCTGGACAGAAGGCCCACACAGTAACAAAGATACTATGACTTAGTAGTATTGTTCTTTAATGTTGTGATTTGAATCTGGACACAGAGTCACTGAAAACACCCAGAGGGAATTTCATAACAGTTCCTATTTTGACAGCACAGTAATGCAGCTTTCACAACCACCTGTATATTTTAAATTGAGTTCAGTGGCATTGTAAATCAACAGAAACCAGTGGTGGTTAGAAAAAAAGTTAAATCTAATAAAGTATACTTTACATAATACCGTGAAGCATATGCAAAACCTGCCAAGACCCCTGATGTTACCCCACATGCACAAGATGTGACTGCACTTTTACCTGGGAACTGATGACGGCGTGCGATCTCTCACGCCCAGGTTCTTGGCGGAATTCTGAACTCTTGCCCCCTAAAAGAAAAAGAAGCATAAACACTGGATCAGGTTAAAAAAAGCACCCATAAAAATGAGCTAAAATCAACACCGCAGAGAGAAGAGCTTAACCACTTAGGCCATAAGCCAAAAAACATTTGCACCCTATGGGTGCTGAAAATGCTTTTGCCCAAAGCTTTACATGCAAACAAATGACACTGAGGAGTCTGGTGAGTTCTGCATGAAAATAATTATTTGCTGAGTAATAGTATTCCAACTCTCTACTCTCTGGTATTATACTTACATATGAACATTTCCAACATTTGAATATTGTATATTATCAGCAAACACTGGAAAGATTTTGAGGCCTTGTTAATGATGGTGGTATAACTATTTATAGATGGTTTCCACTGGGCCTACTGTAGACTGTTGAGCAGTTTGGTTTTATGTTAGAACTTTAGAAACACATTTTAAAAGTCCACTGGGCCCAAAGATGAAGTACTGTATGACTGGACACTGTCTTGGTTAAAATACTGTACAGCTCCTGTGATGTTAGGTTTGGGTTAGGGTTACCCTCAAGTGGAATTGCTTCCTGTCATGCCAGGTATAAATAGGTGTCATCTATAAACTGTATATGTCTTTTTTTCCGCTAAGTATGCAAAAGCACACATGCAGAATATCTTTGTAAGGAAATAAAAGTAGGAAGGACTTGAGAAGACAAACAGTGCCTGTGTGTGTTACAGAGTGTGATTATGCTGAATCAGGGGCATGTCTGCTTTTTTTTTTGCTAATGTTACTGTAGTCTGCTAGCTGTGTGCAGGGGGGGCAGGAGGCAACTCAGCCTCTCAATTTAGAAACATGAACATCTGCACCCTGCATTCACAAATACACCCGGGTTCCCACTGTGACACACACACTAAAGCAAAAATACACAAATCATCATACGAAGAGGTCATCAGTATCTCTTCTTCAAACAGAGAGGGAGTGACTGGCTAAAAAGGCATCTGCTGACCTCTCAGTTACAACTCCACTGTCTGACTTGAAGTACGTCTAGATAACAGGATAGCATCAGCAATTATGAGATGCCCATCACAGGCATTCACTCTGCCATGTAAAAGCAAATTAAGAGGAGATTTAGAGGTTATAGGCAAAGTCAGTAAGATTCATCCCCTGGGAACCATGAATACTTTTACAAAATTTTATGGCAGTCTGATGATTGTTGGGATTTTTACATCTGGAGCATAGTGGTGGACAGGCCAAAACTGTCATCCAGCTATGCAGGCTGAAAACATAATGGTTAAAAATAGATAAATATGGCAGCAAAGTGCAAATATGTACAAACATGCATAGTCCTTTATTGCTTAAAAATGAAGACTGACTCATTCTTTCATTCAATTGCTGCATGTATCTTGTGCATTTGTTTCATTTTTCACATTTCTACATTTTTCTTTCATGTAATAGCTGATTGTTGATTCTGCACCTAAAACTGAAACTTAACATTAACTCTTTATCAAACATGTTGAATCTAGTTTATTCCACTCGCTCTGGCTTGATCAACCCTGCTTTGCCGTGTTGCTTTCATATGCTGAAACAGGAAAAATAAAGTCTAAAATGGTGATACCACATGTTATCTGCTTAAGTTAGCTTTGATATAGTATCTTCTTCTTCTTGATATAGTATCTTCCAATTTCCAAATATTGGAAATTGCTATATAGAAGTTTACAAATCAAGCTGTGACTGGACCCATTTTGCTCAGATCACCCAAGTATCTCATTCTGAATGCTGCTGTCAGGATTGATGGACAGGTCCTGTTGGGACCGGATGCTATTCTGGGGGCAGCTGTGGCTCAGGAGGCAGAGCGGGCGGTCTCCTAACCAGGAGTTTGGCAGTCTGATTCCCCTTAGCAGACTCCCCTCTCCTCTTTATCTGAACAGAGCGATCTCTTCTCAGAGATGTCTAGAGATGTCTTCTGATGTCTAGGTCAGTGATGATGCAAGAAAACAGAAAAGGTCTAATGGATAGAGAGAGAGAGAGAAAAATGTTCCACCATGTGCATGTACTGTCCACCTAGCTGCTGGTCTACACTCCGAGTCTTGATATGAAATACCTTTCCTCCTGCATGCTCGTGAATAACCTCTCCTTTCACTGCAAACAGCAATGTAACCACTCACAGAAGCTCTAATGAGAGTCTGAGAGATGAGCCAAGATCAGGTCATGGCTGGAGCCTTTTCTGGGTTGAAAATTGTATGCACTGAGAAGTGATGGGAATTCCTTCCCTTGACCCCAAAATTGACATGCAGACAAACAAGCAAGCTCAGTCTGTCCAGCTTGCTGTTAAGGTTTTTTCACTCCCTCATGTGGCCAAATTCATACTGTGGCTGGAATGAAAGCATAACTGATAAGACTGGAATCTGATAGGAAGGGGAAACAGGGGAAGATGCAAAAACAATTATAACGTAGACAGAAACAGAGGTAAGGATTTTTTTCTTGTGGGCAATAGCAAACACTCATTTCATCACCCAAAAATATGCTCTCTGTTAGCTGCCTTTAAAAAGTCAAGTATGTCAGAGAAATCAAGCACTGACCAAGGAAGCTGAAATGACACAACTGCTCCTCTATTTGGTAATGGAAAATCCATAACTCATACTTATTTTGGCTGCCTGGTTTGACTCAATGAAGCATATAGTTTATCTAATGATTCTGAAAGCAGAAATTGTGCAAGAGTATGGCAGCAACAACAGGAGACACCTATAAACACAGCAACATTGCTTGTGTGTGAATAATATTCATGGGCAAGATGCAGCGCATACCTGTTTCCTCATGACATCAGTGGCCTGCATGATGCAGCGAGGGGGAAGGCCGTGGTTTCGGGCCAGCAGGATGGCCTGCTCCAGTGTCACACTCAGTGTGCAGCTGTTGATCAGAGAGGAAACATAAGATCAAGCTCAAGCATATATTCTCAGTGTGTATACATTTGTCAGCACAGGGGAAGTGGATGTTAAACTGGCTTTTGAGCAAATGACGATTCAGAATACTGCCGCTGTTAATGTAGTATGGGGAATCAAATTATGTTATACCAAGAACATAAGAGATTTATATCAAAGCTCCCCCCTACACTGTACATTTTGCTCCCCTTGACACCTTCGCCAGTACCATCACATTCCTTTCACTTCGCCTTTGTTCCTCTCCACACTAATGAATCATGAAATATCACTCGCAGCATGCAAACACGCAGCATGAGGAAAATAACAACCCCCTGATCTTTGCTTTGTACTGAGCAGAAGGAAAGGATTAAACCTCGCCATGGGCTTTCGTGTTCACTTGAGGAGACTTCCCAGTTTTCTAATCACTGGGATTGATACTTCTTGTTACCAACTGCACGAAAAAGGATCCAAGGACGAGTCAGTGTGTCTCTTGTGGCAGAGGCAATATACTCTCCCCACCATGAGGGTGTGATGTGTGTAAAATGAGTGCTGACATGAGCCTGTGATTCATTAGACACAGCAAACACACTGTCTGTCTCCCACATACACACAGTGGATGGATAAATCCCTAGGGAGAGAGTGACAGTGAAGCTGCTGGGTTACCTTTCTGTGATAACAAGCTGTACTAGTATATTGATCAATAGCCTTTTCACTGAAAATTGAACTGCCTAGGTTCCATCACTGCCAGCCTTGCTTTCATTGACTAACATTGCCATGGGGCTCCTGAAAAATCTGAGCTCTTTAATATTTCCTTGTCGTTACGTTTTCACACTGTGAGGAAAAAAAAGCAGAGGTTCATAAGGGACATACTGCTGCCAGAAGCCATTACTTTGAGTCAATCAGATCAAGATTTAAAAGCCCCCTTGAGTTCCAGTTGCATAAGTTTTTGAAAGCGTGACATGATGTGATAAAAGTAATGAACTCAACAATCATCTCCAGAAAGATATCCCAGTACAGAATTGCAAAAGATGTCCTTTTGCACGCCACCCCAGAATATTTAAAGCACCGATTTTGAGCTTCCCACACCCAATAAAAGAAGAGGAAAAGTCACCCACAGAGATTCTTAAATATCTTTTCAGCTGGAGCAAGATGAAGGAACTGCACAAAATCAGTGTGTGTGTGTGTGTGTGTGTGTGTGTGTGTGTGTGTGTGTGTGTGTGTATGAGGCTGCACAGTTTCCCTTTTCACTCAGGTTGGTGAAATACAGTAGCATAAGGTGATTTATACTGATCTGTTTAATGTTGTTCCAGCTCATATTCCATTTACACTCTAGACCTCAGTCTACACTGACAAATGAGGGGAAACAACAGAGAAACAAACAGAGAAGATGCAGAATGCAAGAAGAGGAGGGAAGAAGAGGTTGTCAGACAGTGAACTCTCCTTTTTCCTCTGATGGTTTTTGAGGGAAGTGATTAACCAAAAAAAATCTGGGAAAGAGAGGCGTGCAGCATATTACAAACTGCTGATGCCCCAAAAACATTGCACTTTGACTGTATTAAAACTCATCCATCAAGCCAAGTAATCCAATCAATAGTGACTGAGAAGACTGCCACACTGATAACGCAGTTTCCACATTTCTAATCTGTTTCATAGGCTTTTCAGTTGTAACAGATTTACTGTATGTTGTATGCTCACCATTAACAGGAGCACTACATAAATTATATTTTCTATACATTTGAAATTATACAGAGAAAACAGTGAAATTGGTTGTTTCATATACAGTCTGTATTCTGTCAACAGTGAGAGGGTTACACATAAAAATGTTGACTGCCAAAGTTAATGACATTCATCCTGTGAAGACTTGCACCAAACAAAATATTTCTAACTCCCTCTACTGTGATAGTGAATCCAATGGAGCCCCTAAAGGGTGGCTAGAGGGGGCCATGTCCATGTGCTGGACATAAATGAAACCTTTATCAACTAATAATTAATAGTTATGTTTAAGCATTTAAACTGGAATGAATAATTAGCAATGCCTTGGCTGATCTTATGTGACTATTATAACCTGATTATGTTCGCATGAGATCAGCCAACGAATTAAACAGTATGGAATTTATTTTACACTATAATAATGTATCTTTAGCTTTTTTATCAACTAGCCTAAGCCCGAAACTCATCTATGCTGTATAGACTTTTTTGTGTGCCACCCCATGGTTTTCACTGGTCCCTTCTAATGCCCCCACCCCCACTAATCCTAAATATGGCATGCCATGTCATCTGCTGTGTCATGGTACACTTGGCCTACTGTACCTGTCTGGGTGAGTTGTGTATAATTGCGCAGAAACACACAGACATACACACACACTCAGGCTGTGGGTTAATAAAATAGCTGTGGTCCATGGACAGACGGGAACTTTCTGTTAGAGCTCAGGCAACCAGGCAGCTTCATCCTCAGCACTTTATCAAGCCATCAATCACATCTCGTAAAAGCATGAGTACATGTGGGAGCCTGTGCATGTGACTGAGACAAAGAAATATGGAAAGTGTCATGGGGTAAAGAAAGAGGGTATCAGAGATGGGTGGGTGATGGAGGGAAAAAGCAGAGTAAGAAAAGATGAAAGCTAGAACTAGGGATCAGTGGTGACAAATGATCAGGATATTTCTGTCCTCATGCACTGATGAATGGTGCCCTCAGTGGCAGGTGAATTAGGCAGCCATATATAGAATTCAATGAGAAAGGAAGTAATTGACCTGTCTCCTTCCTCTGTAAAGTGCTATGCCTACTTAAAAGTCCCTAATCTTGTCTGAGAAACAATGAGCCCTGTTAACTACAATATTATACTGTTAATTAATGTGGAGAAATGCATAATAGAAAATTCCCATGGTGCAGGAGAGCAAAGCAGTAGAGACCTCATGAAATCAAGTGCTAAACTGAAGAAAAAAGGAGCACAGAACCAGAGAGAAGCCATGGTACGCATGGCAAAAGGTGAGCAGAGTGTCAGTGGGAGAGAGATGAAAGAGAAAGAAACGAAAACTGCAGAAAGCTGTGAACAGAAAGAAAATCATAGGTTGAAATGTATAATTTAAACAGAAGACATGTGCAACAGAGTACACGTTCCTCACCGATGAACGCCACTGTTGCACATGACGATGTGTGTGGCTCCCAGACGTGAGCAGAGCTCTGAGGCCACGGTGAGCAGCCCCACGCCAGAAGCCCCACAGGCAGTGTACTGACAAGCAGCAGTGCGGCGGCAACTGATAAAACTCTCCATCAGACGGTAGAGCTCCTCCAGAGCACCGAGGGGACGCATCAGCTGGGCAGAAGCAAAGAGTGAAAGAGAGAGATTAAGACATAATAAAATAACACTGCCAAGGCTGAGTCAGATTGAATTCAGGTTGTTCTAGTACTGTAGTTTTTACAGACTTCTGATAAATAAGGCTTAGGTATTATTTGGTCGTTTTATGTAGGAATTGGGGAATACTTTATGGGTTACTAGACACTGAACCTGTTGCCACTGTAGCCAGGGCCACTACTTGACTTTACACATCTATTCTGCGACTTGCCGTTCCAGAAGCTCCAAAATGTTGGATTTGCAGGCAATAAGATCATCTTCCAGTCATGTTCTTCAGGTTCTCCAATATATCATGTAGCAAGGAGTTAAAGGTTATTCTTACCTTATCTATGAGGGCAGCTTTAGGCGCAGAGCTGGGTGGCACATTGGACTGATCTAGGTAGAAAGCCCTAAGGGAAAAATAACAGGTGACATATGGAGTGATTTTAGCTAAATGTCCTCTGCAGCGAGATACAACTGAGTCACTGATACTGCACCAGACTGTTTTTAACAATCATACACAAGCAATTTTTTAAAACGCAGCATAGTGCTGTTTTCTCTGCGTCATTATGTTGCCAGGAGCACTGGCTGCTTTTCTGGGAAAAGTAGGCCACCTGCTCATTATGAAGCACCAGCATCTGACTATCAATCATGAGAATAACTTGGGCACATCTCAGCAGAAAAAACAGACTAAGCATCTTTTGTTCTGGGCATCACTCCAAATGCTATTGCCTCATTCATTCATTGAGTACAATCAGTTTGGCGCTATTCTCCCCTTTCACCACTGGAGGCAGTGCTGCACTGGTGTTATGAGAGAGGATGTATGCTGCAATGAATCCATCTGAGGTGGTGCAAACTCAGTGGTCTCTGACTCCATCAAATCCAGCAGTGTGCTAAAAAATAGCTACCCTACCACCACATTAAACCCCTTAATGAAATAAAAACACATACTGCATTACTTCTTACTATAAGCAATAATAATGTACAACACAGTCACCGATAGGGTATAGATTTCTGAAATGGCAAATAGTCCAGGAGAAACTCCGTTATAAGAAATTCAGCAACAACAACATCTGAGGGGAGGGAATTATTTACAAGAATCAGTGAAGCAGGGCTCATTCATCTGCATTCACTCAGTGATTAAAATCAGGCCAAGGTGGTGTTCATTATGACTGTGGTATTTCCACCTGCCATAATATTAACAAAATTAATTAATCAGAGCAGAGTTAACACATCCCCAATTTACAGCTTTTATAATGGTTATAAACCAGCCACACAAATGCACACACAAACAGTAACCACTGTAGCAGATGTACCTGCACCCACTGGAGCTACCATTACATATGACAAAGCCCTAAATCCTCCATAGTACACTTGCTTCATCCATTTAGGCTAATGTGGCAATGCAAGCAAATCTATTTTACCTCCAACAACATTCTTCCTATACTGTAAATACATCTATTCTGAGATACAATACTTTATGCCTTCACTTGTCAAAGGTCTCCATGTATTTAATCCCTATCAAACAAACGATCCTTTAACCTTGTGGCTCTACTAAATGACTGTGAACAGAGTTTGCTAAGGGTTTAGATGGAGCTAACAGCTCATGTAATTGGTTCAAGATGGCCTTATAATTTAAAAGATGCTCTCAATAGACTAGGAGTTACAGAGCACCTTGGGATTAAATACAAACCTCTGCATGAACCATCTACAATATATGAGAGGTAGCAGGCCAATCTTTGGCTGGGGTGACAGTTTAAAGCTCCAGATATTTTATTTCCTCATTAAAGTTTCTGCAATAAACACCCGGTATCCATACTGTGAGACTGTATACGTCTGTATACGAGTGTGCACACATTATATTTGTCTTTGCGTGAGTGTGTGGCATTTAAGGACTGTGGAACAACAAACAACCTCAGTAAATGAAAACTTGGATCCAATAGCTTCCAAACAAAACAGGTCAAACAAAGAGTGAGATGAGATTCAGTGATAAAACACCAAAGAAAGTTTACTATAATAAAAAGTTTGCTCTGAAATATTCTGGCTCGTACTGCCTGTTATCTGTCTACTTCAACTGTGAATCCACTCACACTTGTCCCTCTTGTTTATCTGGCAACAAGACTTATCTTGAAGGTCTGTAATAGAATCTGTCTGAGAGGAGTTTGTATAAATGCCAGACTCCACTTCATTGTCTCACATTTGTTTATCAGATTCACAGTAAATAAAAACAACCTCTTCTTGCCCTTGCACACATCTTTCACAGAGCCAAGGTCATTATTATCTCATGCTCTTGTTGTAAGAGTTGTTCAGACAACACCACTGACCACAGCCACAGCTTGGGGGATAGAGCTGATTCTCCTGGAGATTTCCAATGACAAACTAATAGGAGTCACACTACAAGTGATGTACGTATGGTTTAAGGGAAACCAGCACTACATCTTCTCAGCTGATGCTTTGTTAGAGATTTATAAACATTCATCAAAGATGAAAAATGAAATTTTAAACCCACATCCATGTGCGCAAACACAACACTGTCAGCCTAACATATTACATAGATAGTACGTATAAAGTTTAAATCTACTGGGTGTTTGTTTCTTCTCCCACCTACTATGCCTGCCAGATTGAAGCCCCTGAACTCTAGCTGCTCTGTTTTAATGGCAGAACATCAAGAACCCCCCACAGGTTTTGCACAAGCTTATGATTTTTCTTACCCACTGGCATTCTCCAACATATGGGTTTTAAAAATATATCAGCTTCTCTCTTTTATTCTCAAGTTTTTCAGTGGAATTTAATGCCAATCAAAACTCCAGACCACCTTTTGTCACCCAGTTTATAACAAAAAACAAAGGACGCAGTGAATGTGGTGCTGTCATTTTTGCTTGTAGTAGAAATAAAGAAAACCGCCAGTTAAACTTGCTTTTAATTTTTTCTGTAACAAGTAAACCTGCACCGGCCAGAGCCAGTCAAAAAGATTTTTATATGGTGTTCTAATGGAGCATTTGGCTGCACGCCAGAAATGACAAACTGAATGCAACTGGTTTTATTCTACTGACTCAATGAGAACATGTCCCACTCAAGGCCCTTTTCAGGAGGATCTGAAACAGGAGCACATCATCATGACATTCTCCATCCAAAAGGTACAAATAAAACAATATTGATCACTGAAATACTAAGAAAGAGATGAGAAAATCATTTAAAATGAGCATCTTGTGTACACAAAGACAGAATGGATTTACTGTATTCAACACATGTAACCCCGCAGAGGTGATTGCTTGTCCATGTAAATCACGAGTGACACACATCATCAATGACACTGACTCTTATTAAATCTGCCACAAACGTCTGCAGTGTGTGGCGGAGCTGCCAAAGGGCTAATAAGGGCTTCCTGGAGCCCTAATATGCCACACTGATGCTTCTGCACTGACACCAGTGAAATAGCGTGCAATGTGCCAAGCCTTCTTCCTATTTACACCTACAGCCAAATACTACAGCTATATGTCAACCACAGCTTAATATGGAAACACATGCCACCAGATAAAGCCTGAACACTCACCTGAGACATGTGGTATATGTTATGGCATGTGTTCACTGGTAAAAAGAAAAGACGGCTAACCACAAAATACATTATAGAGTTCCTGAATATGTGCCATTTCACACATACTGTATGCTGTTTAAATTAAGTCATTATTGTCCAACAAGAGACCAGGAAATGTCCAGTTACTCCATACAGTTACATGACTATAGGATCTCGTCTAGCTTAAAATGTTGAACAAATTTATAATACTGCTCATAAAAGAAAAGTATTGGTACCACCTTATAGAGACATTTTTTAAAAACCCTCAGAAACAGCTGAAGAGACAACAAAAGGATTTTTTTTTTTTTTTTTTTTTTACAATTATCAAACATCACCAAGTGCATTGTGGCTGTTCAATGATAGCAACAAAGAGAAAGAAGAATAGAACTGGTTCTCTGATGGTCAACCTTGCATGCTTTCCAAAGGAGTGCAGTGCAAACTAGCTGGATCAGAACAAAGCCCCACCACCTTCCTCAGTGCTCTTGTGAATTAAGAACTTTTCTGGTGCAACAACTGTAATATTTTCATTACCTCCTAAAATGGAAGATCAGTGAGAAGAAAGCTATGTTTAGTCATATGTTTAGGACAAACATATGACTGACCATCCTTTCCATTGCCTCCCTGCTGAAGCTAGGATAATATCCATGATTCTGATTGCTCAAATAAGCCATAGTTCATTAATTTTGTGGGAAATTCTAAGACTTAGCCAACTAGCTGACATGCTGTTACTTTTGCTCCATCCTGAAAAATAACTGTCTGAGAAGCTTGCAATGCTAATGCATGTCAGATGGAAGATGTGGGAATTTACTGCAGTAGTTAAAGCTTTAGTAATCCTTGTCCTAAGGAGATATACACCACGATTCACATGTAGCAACTATGCTTTGAGTTTAGCGACATATTTAAGGTGTGTTTTTGACAGTGGTGGGATTCATGTCTATGTGTTGAACATCTTGAAGTGATTTCACACTGAGGTGTCCTTGGACAACAACAACAACAACGCAAAGCTAGTTATCAGAGATGCTTGTACATAGGGTTGAAGTTAGCGGGTTATGTGCATATTCCTGTGTCTGTTTGTGAAGATATGTATATATCTGTATGTGTGAGATTAACAATGCCTAAGCTGAGACAGAAGCCATTACCTGATCAGCTAGTAGCATCAATCATGTTGTAGTACATGTGATACTTAAATTTGTAAATTTACTGTACATTCTATACACTGGGTCACATTTGAATAAATGCAAGGACCAATCTATACTCCAGTCACAGGCCAAGAGAAATAAAAGAAGAGAGGGAGCTCGCTACTCACGCTCTGATCTGCAGCAACAAGCATTTCTGTTTAATCAAGACAAACTGCACTGCAGTGTGTGATTTCCAGTTCCTTTTATCAGAAAGAACAAACACTGGGAGCACAAGTAACTCAAAAGCTGTGCTGTGTGGTAATAGCTGATGACTGTTTAGCTCACAAAGCATGAAAAAGCATGCAATATTATAAAATTACATAGACCACATTTATTGAACAGTGCTATACATTCTAGCTTAGTACCACCATGCCATTACTATACACCACTTTTCAGACAAAATTTTAAAATTCCACAAAAGGTTGTATCAAAAAGGAGTGTACTATGAGATGTGGACAATTCACAGCCTTGTGGTATTTCTCCACTATCGCCAATTGCATTTCAGTTAGGGAGAACAGCCAGTGCTTGCAGGCAAGTCTTTAGTCTGTCCAGCAAAACAAACATATGGAGTAATCTAAACACATCCACTTACACTCACAGGTTACTGTTACACCAGCAAAAACAACATGATGCACATGTAATTCAAAAATAAGTGTAGTATATGCTGGACCTTCTCTTTAAATCTTTCACAATGCTTTATGTACATACTGTAAGAGCAAGAGAGAACGCAAGATGAAAACCTAATTCCCTCCTAAATTCTCTTGTCAGTACAAGCAAAGTTTGATGAAACCACAAGCCTCTCTATGGATAGATTTGCAGACTATTCTGGTTCTCACCTCCCCACTCTTCCCTCCCCCTTATCACTCCACTGAACTCCCCTCCCTGGTTCCAGTCTGCTCTGGCAATCTACAGTAAATTCCCCTTTCAATTCTCCCTTCTCCCACTCTTACTGTTCATACCATTCTTTCCTATTCAGATTTGTGTGACTAGCCAGTGTGATAAATGAGAAAATCTGCAACAAAAATGAGACATTTACATCATTCCCCAGATGAAACTTAACAATGGCATTCTACTTTTGCATTATGAGAAACTTAGCAAACAACAAAAGTATGACTAAGGAAATTTTCACTTTGGTATGTGCCGGGATTTCAAAACTCTATATGATTCACATCATTTTCCTACTCATCAAGCCATTCAGTGACCCTCGTGCCCTGTGGATTGGGGCACTGTCATCCTAGAAGAGACCACTCCCCCTCAGCATAAAGGTGATCACTCAGACCAACTTGATTTGCAGTGACGCTTCGATCTAAAGAGACAAGTGGATCCAAACCGCGCCAGCAACATTCCCCACCTGGGGTGTAATAGGAGTCTGTCAACATGGAAACATTTGAGAATCTCAGTTCAGTAATGCATGTGTTGGGCTGTTTCTTTCAGTCAGCCTCTGGCAGCAGCCCATAGTGTGGGTTTAACCCAACTCTGGCATGGCCAGGCTCCAAGCATAACTACTGTAGGTGGCTGAGGTTGGAACGCTGCAATGGAGAGAAGAGTGACATCACAGCCTGGTCTGTGGTCAGCTGAAAGACGCATGACAGCTGGCAAAAGAAAACTACTGGCAATATTACATGTAGTGTGACACTGTATTCACTGACTACTGAACGCTTTACTATGATTGCTACAAAGAAATACTCTACAAAGGAGGACATACAAGTTTGGTAGCATGTGCTCAGTAAAATGAAAGAGGGCCCACAAAATGCCAATATTCTTATTTGAAAAGGTTTTAGAGTCTCAGAGATTAAATGACCAAGCACAATGCGGTATCTGTGCTGTGAGAAACTGGACACATAGAAATGAATGCTCAATTATTTTCACTCAAATCTAAACACTATGAACAGATTAAAATCAGTGGACAATCTGAGTGAATGTCTTGTTGTGGTGTGCCACTATTAACATACTGTAAAACTCTCCAAAGTAGATTGTGCCTAAACATAAAGATGAAGTATCGCTATGGGCTCTGGTCATTTAATTAGCCACATAATCACCAGCAGATGTTTAGCTGAAGCCTACGTGTTGACCACTCTCCCTCCTCCGTATTCAATGTGGGAAACACACTCTGGGTAGGCTTCAAACACCTTTCCAACAATGTGACTGATTTTTTCGATTACCAAGACCATGTTAGTATATACCATGTAATCGTGATATATCTAGTTCATCAGCAGCTGAGCTGGCACCAAACTCAATTATACAGACAGACAAAAGGCTCTGATCTATGATAACAGAGTTGAATTAACAGACCTTAAGAGGATGTGTGTGTGTGTGTGTGTGTCTGTAAATCCATCTGCCAGTGTTTTTGATCAAACACTCAGCTTAGTAAGTCAAACAGATCTGCACCAACACCAATATATGGCATATTGTACAGTCTAACAGTTTCTCAATATAAATTCTTAATGTGTCTTGAGCTTTCACAGACACACACATCCCTCTATACACAGCTGGTTTAAATAAGAATTTCAGCATCTGAAATTACAAGATATTATCTGATATAAGAATACATTGATATTCAGACAGGCTACTGCATAGTTCCGACACTCACTCAAACATTAAATAAAACCAACCACTTATTTCTACTCCCAGAAGCTCCTGGTTCTTTGTATCTGTTTCCACCTCAATAAATTATCCACACCTGGCCAATCACAGATGGTCTCGGGAGAGCAGCAAACCAATGGGGTGTAAGGTGAATGAGTGCAGCAGCTGTACAGAGGCAGTCTATCAGTGCTGCTGACATGCTGGGTACTCTCATCCAATCACTGCTACCTCTGCTGTGTGTGTTCGCAACCAATCATAAAACATTCATGCTGTGTTTTGCTCAACCAATCACCTTGAGGCCCCGCTGGGCAATGAGAGAGCCCAGCCGAACTGAATGGGAAGTAATCTTGATTTATATTAGATCTAAAAACATTTTAGAAAACTGCCAAATCATAAAGGATATAGTTGTGTGTATATGACGTAACATACCTCAGCCTCTTGTGGTACTGTTTGACCTTATCAAATGAGGCAGTGTTAATTTGGGCCTGGTATTCTTCCACTGAAACACTGTCTCTGTAGTAGTATCCTTCCATACTCTCCAGCGCTAGAGAGGGATCAAAGTATAACAGTGGAAAAAATGATAAAGGTATTGTGATGATCAATAAATCAGCCTTCATCAGCTGACTTATATTTACCTACTGTATCTAAATATCCTCAATATACCTTGAGTGAAGAGCACCGGGTAGATTTTGATGCCTCCTCCGTTTTTCAGCCTGTGAGGCAGCTGGGTGAAATAGAAACTCTCCAGGTAGAACAAAACCTTCAAGGCCTGGCGGGTGCCCTCCACCTGGTATGAAATGGGCACATCTGCCAGCAGAGAGACATAACTCAGAACACAGTTTGAAACTTTATTTAAATATCATAGAATTCATAAGTAACAGTCAGGCTATAATGGTGCCACTGTCAAACGTAAGATAGAATACTCAGGGTACTGTACACACTGGCCACCAGTGGCTCTCCTTCAAATTGCTGGAAGCAGAACGTAACCTTCTCCAGGTCATTTAGGGCAACCTGAGTGTCCTCCAACATGGCCTGTTCATCTGTCTGAAGAGAGAAAGACAGAAAACAGTGGTAGCGATGATGTATTTAGATCATTTTCTTAGTAAAAGTACCTAAACACAGAAGACAAATTAAAAGGAGGACCATTAGTAACAAATGTATCTGTTTACAGTTCTACTGGACAAGTTAATAAGTTGTGTGTAGGAGGGATCTGTGTCAAATCTGGTAAACTGGGTCATGTACAGTACCACCATTTGAAGCGGAATCAGCTGGGCTACAAACTGAAAGTAAAACCTGCATTTATACTGTACTTATACTCTTGGGTAGTTTCATTGTTAAAATGCATCAGGTTTTCATTAAATAATCATGTAGTCTAAGTAAACTTTACATCTACAAATAAACTACTAAAGGATACAATTTCATCCCCCTCCTGGAATGAATCATTATTCTAACTGTATAAGGAGATGCTCATCTGAGGAGTGTGCTTGTGTTTAGACACTTGACAGTGTGTGTATCCATATGTCTTGTCAGTTGTAATATTTGACTTGGCGTGTTTGGGACTGTTTATCTCTGTCTGCGTGCATGTTTCCCAGTCAAATATTCACTCAGCATCCTCACACACAAACAAACACTTCTGTTTGTGGCCACAGCGATGACAGCTGAGATATTTTTGAACTGCGATCCCATGCACTCCCCCCTCCTTCCCTTCTTCTCTCCATCCACCACATGCACAGAGATAAACTGAGCAAGGCTGGAAGAGGAGCTTTTTTTCTACAGACACATATGCCACGGTCCAACGTGTGACACTGGGGTATCTGCTTCACTGCCAAGTGTTGGTGTGTGTGGGCAAGTTTATATCAAAAGGCATCACATACATACACTCCCCTGATACAGACACACACACACACACACACACACACACACACACACACACACACACACACACACACACACACACACACACACACACACACATTCAGTTAACACAAAGATGCAGACACACACACCCAGAGCATCCCCAGCTCATCTCATGTTTCCGTGCACTCAAGAAAAATGTGCTGAGACCGGTACTGAGACCCTGTTTTGATCCACATGCAAACTTGAAAGGGATGAAAACATGTACAAGAAATACAGAGGGACATAAAGAGAAGGAGATCATGGCAGGAAGAAAAAGAAAATCAACAATTTGTGGGTGCTACAGCTAAACTGCACACCCCTCTAACATAAATAAACAGCCACCCAGAGCACTTGCCCCTGAGAGCTGACAGAAAACAGACAATGCATCTCAACACCTCATCAAAATAGTGCCACAGCAAAGAAATATTTCAAGATTTCTTTTCCAAAATAAGATGAAATAATGTTCATTTACAGACATATACAGGGCATTATAAATCAAAATCAGCACACAAATTTCTCCACATTATTTTGCTAATTTTATTATTTTCAGGGCTGTTTAGATGAACACGGGCAGAAAAACTATTAAACAGATTGGATTATTTAGATGTAAATATTTAAACTATATTTACATGTGTTTATTGCTCATTAAACTTATTTGTATTTAAACCCATGTACTGTGGTTCAGAACCTTAGTGACGGCAAACCAGAACAGATACTGTACATACACACTCCATAGACTCCGTTGTCTTTGCTTAGCTGAATCTCACTACACTTATTCTTATACACTTATCTTGCAAGCTTTCAGCAACTCCAGAATGTAAACGGTATTCATATTTGATGGTGCAAAAGAAAAATGTAATAGATGTGTGTTCTGTGTAATCTATGTACCGTATGGTACCATAATATCAAGGTGCCATTTTACATGAATGATCAGGTTCCAACAAATTCATACAACTCTTTTTTTTTTAATCTGCAGCAGATTACGTGAAAGATGAGACTTGTCTGGTGCTCACCAGATTGGGGGAGAGGAGAGACTGGAAGTAGAAGAGCAGCCCAGCTGTGGCAATCTGCTCCAGCCAGCGGTGGCTAGCTTCCTGAGCCTCCTGAAGGTCCTGAGGGTCTGAGCTGTCCTGGTCAGGCTCCCTGCCTACCTTGTGGAACTGAAAGGGGACACAAAAGCTAACTCTGGAGGTAAGGAGTAAAACGTTTTTTAAAATTCAACTATTATATCATGATGCTGCTGCTACAGTTTTCAATTCCAAATCAGATATACTGCATCATTTACTTGGTTGAGGACAGCCAGTAGATGTTCTGAGAAGGCGCATACAGCTGCAACTAGAGACTGGCAGAAAACCATGTCTCGACGCAACTGGATCTCTGAGTCTAGAGGGGAAACATGAGGATATGAGGCTGAGAAGAAAGCTGTGATGTAAAAAAAATAAATAAAAAAGGAAAAAGAAATTGAGCAGCACAGTCAGGAGGAAAAGAAGACGCCAGACAGAGTGAAGATTAACAACTGAGATGTAAAGTGGTAAGGAAGAGGTTAAAACAGCGTGATAGAAACACACAGTGTGAGTTTATTCATTTCTTACACTTTGAGAAAGGTCACAAAAAGTTTATTTTCTGAAAATAGTGTATCAGAGAAAAGAGAGCAAGTGACAGGTGTGAGTGAAAAATAACTGACAGCCAAAACTGTCTAAGGAATACAATTGGAAAAAATGCAGTTCAGGGGTTTATGAACTTAGAGTAAGTATAACTCCATAAACCAAAATCAATACTGTATATGATAAAATATAAAATACAGGAATTTATGAACTAAAAACGGTTGTACAACCATCCCAACCACTACCTTGGTAAAAAAACAAAAAAAAAATAAAACACCTTTTCTAGTTCTTATTACATCAGTAGTTCCTGGAGGTATGTAAAGGAACATAACACTGAATTTCATTAGAACAGTTTCCCTTGAGGAGAGAAAAAAACAATAAAAATGGAGTAAACCAACAATTTACTGTATTATTTAATGAGGCCCATTAATAAAACAAGGCACCTGCCATTTTTAAGGCCTCTGGCTCCTGATACAAATATATATATATATATCTACTTCATATAAGATTTTTACTTTCCAGCTGGAGCCGCACAAATCTGTTGAGAGGTGTGTTTAGGAAAAATCTTAATGCCTTTTTAGAGGCATTGCAAAGTTCAACCTGTGCTTTGTTTTTGAGATTACTGTCATACTTCTTATTGCCTGTGACTATATTAATATACAAATTATGACTTAAAATTTGTGCTGCAGTCGGAGAAGAGAAGGACAAACCTGTATACTGTAGTAAGACCAAGAGCAACCGTGTCTTCACCTCTGGGGGGGGAAACAATCCAGTGAGACAGTGAACAACCTTACAGTATATCAACTCCCAAAGAGCCGTTCTCCTTGACTGAAATAATATGACCTATACTATAAACTCAGCCCCTTAAAAGTCATAAAAAGGACACTGCTGCATAACTCTTCTGCTCCATCCCAGCTCCACGGCTGTTTATCTTCACTTACAAGAAAAAAAAAACATAATAAAATTCAGCCACAGGCAAAGATAATAATATAAATCCACATTTGTTTATAGCCATATTAGAGCGTGGGTAACTTGGCAGGACATTGGACTATATGAAAAAGTCATCATGGGGAGAGTGTTGTCGACAGGTCAAGCTGCACATTAATATAAACTCTGTGTATTTGTTCTCTCTTTCTTGTGATCACTAGCTCACCTTTCCCAGGAGCATCTCATTGGCGTTGGTTCTAGGCTCCTTTTATCTGTATGTTTGCTTGTGCTGGTGTGTCTGTACTGTATGTCTATATTGTGTACTGTATATGCATGTGTGTGCATTCAATCACAAAACCACACACTATCTTCTTGAATAAATGAGGCTGAACTCCCTGAAAATCTCAAAATCGCATTAGTTTGTTTTTTTTAAGCTGCTCATATTCAACTCCAACCCTGTGGTTCCAATTTATGTACCCCAGGATGGTTTTTACTACACAACTGTAACAGAGGTTATTACTGCATCTAATATACATGCTACATATGCTGAGCATCACTGGAGAACCAGCCATTACTTTACCTCCCAAACCAGGTGTGCTTTTCCTTAATATTGAAAGTGAGGAAGCTTTAGGTCATCAACATTGTGCATGCATTAATGTACAAGTGCATGTTTGTTAACTGAGGTACACACTAACCTTCAACATATTTAGCAATGGTTTGTGTGAGGGTCTGAACGCTGCTGGGAAGGTTCCAAGGAT